TATAATCGTCATAACCTGAAAACAACCAAGATGTCCTTCAGCAGGTAAGCAGGTAAATAAACAATGACACATCCAGTCAAGTCTACAAAGAAACGAGCCATCAAACCATGAAATAACATGGAATAACTTACATGTGTATTACTAAGTCAATGAAGTTAATCTGGAAAGGCTGCACGCTGTAATGATTCCAATGATATGACCTTCTGAAAAAGGCCAAATTATGGAGACAGTAAAAAGATTGGCCAGGAAGTGATGGGAGGAGGAGGTAAAAGAAAGAGAAGAGAGGATTTTTAGAGCAGTGAAAATACTCTACATGATGCCATAATGGTAGATATGTGTCATTATGCATTCCTCCAAACCCATAGAATGTACAACACCAAGAGTGAATCCCAATGTAAGAAACTATGGACTTCAGACAATTATGATGGGTGATAATGACTGTAGATTCACCCATTATAACAACTGTACTACTCTAGTGGAAAATGTGCTTTATGTGGCAGGATATGTATGTGTTGGGGGAAACATATGGGAAATCTCTGTATCTTTCTCTCAGTTTTTCTGGGAACCTACTGCTCTTAAAAAAATAAACTTTTAGAAAAATTCTATAGGCTTTGAAGGAGCAGAGGAAATTTGTTGATGAAGTGAATATTAAATCTAAGAAACTATTATTTATCTTGTTAGGCGTGACCATCTTATTTTGGTTGCATATAAAATATTCATTAAAAAAGATTTATATTTAATATTCAAGGTGAAATGTCATATCTTAGCCTACAACACTTTTTGTGTGTGTGCGTGGTACTGGGGATTGAATCCAGGACCTTCTCACTGAGCTACACCCCCAACCTTTTTGTATTTTTCAGTCTGACACAGGATCTTTTTTTTTTTTTTTGTACCGGGGATCAAACTCGGGTCCTTGTGCTTGCGCAGCAGGTGGCGAAACCACTGAGCTAAATCCCTGGCCCACAGGATCTTGGTAAGTCACTAAATTTCCCAGGCTGGGCTCCAACATGAGATCCCCCTGCCTCAATCTTCCAGAGTGCTGGGATTTCAGGTTTGCACCACCACACCCAGCTCTAGATTTTTTTTCAACAGAAAATTTCACTCTCTGTGTGGATATTTATTTTGCTAGTTGTTCTCTAAGTCTTTCTACTAGTTTATGCCCAATGAAGTAGGTGTCATGGTTTACATCTAGGATGTCCCCCAAAGGCCTCATGTGTCCAGAAGTGGGGCTTTTGGAGGTGACTAGATCATGGGTGCACTGTACCCATCAGTGATTTAATCCAGGTATGAGCTCAAAGCTAAATGTGCTGTTTGGAGGTGGGGTCTGGTTAGAAGAGGCGGGTCCCTGGGGGCCTGACTTGGGGAGATTTATCCTCCCTTTGCTCTCTGCTTCCTGGTCACCGTGATGTGAGCAGCCTTCCTCCATGACAGGGCCTTCCCCATGCTGTTTCTGTGTTTGAGCCTGCTGACCATGGACTGAAACTTTTGAAATTGCGAGCCAAAATAAACCTGTCCTTTAAGATATAGGTATCCAGTGTTGTGTCTCAAAGATGAACAAAGTGACTGAGGTGATAGAAATCTTGAATAAAGGTTTTTATTGTTGCTGTTTACTGCTGTATCCCTGCCACCTAGAAGAGTGCTTGGATAAATGTTCAGAATGTAATGGAAAATCGCTTGTCAAACTAAGAAGTGAGGTAATTATAACTTGAACAAGAAATGATAATCAACAGGGCCCAACACCAAGATTACCCAGAAGTTGGAATGCTCTGAAAAGGACTTTAAAGCAGCCAGCATAAAAATGCTTCAGTAAGTCACTATGAACACTGCAAACTTATCAGTGAAGGTAAAATTTAAAAGACCAGCGTCCTGAGGTGTTGGCAAGCACATACACCGATGGTGGGACTATAAAATGGGACTAGTGTGGAGAACGGTTTGGCAGGTTTTTTTTTTTTTTTTTTAATGAAATGTGATTTGATACAAAATACAGAGAATGTTTAAATTTTTAAAAATTATTACAAGCCAGGTGTGGGGGTGCATGCCCATAATCCCAGCACTTGGGAGGCTGAGGCAATAGGATCACTTCGAGTTTGAGGCCTGCTTGGGGTACATAGTGAGTTCAGGGCCAGCCTGAACTAGAGAGCAAGACTATGTCAAAAAAAAACCCAAAAACAAAAAAGAGGCCAGGGATTTAGTGGTATCAAACCTGTCTCAAAAGTGCAAGGTCTTGAGTTCGATCCTGAGTACCAAAAAAAAAATTATTACAGTAAAAGACACATTGCTGGGCCGGGGATTTAGCTCAGTGGTTCCATAGCCTAACCCGCAAGTGCAAGGACCCGAGTTTGATCCCCGGTATCAAAAAAAAAAAAAAAGACACATTGCTATTAATCCCCCTCAAATTACTCCATCTCACTTCAAACACACTTCTCCCATATTCTTGCCTTTTTTTAAGTGTCTTTAGTGACACTGTCATGGCTGCCTTGATATTCTGAATCAACTTTAAATGTTTAATGATCATTTTGACTTTGGGGAAGAGCCAGAAGTCGCACGGTGCCAGATCTGGCAAATAAGGTGGATGAGTACTCACCATCATGTTTTGGTTTTTTTTTTTAATTTAATTTTTAATTTTTTAGGTACTGGGGATTGAACTCCGGACCTTGTGCTTGTGAGGCAGGCAGCAGCACCACTGAGCTAAATCCCCCGCCCTCACCATCATGTTTTTACAAGGATATATATATATATATATATATATATTTTTTTTTTTAATCAAGTCTGAGCTTCCCATCTGAGATTGGAGGTAAAAATAAGTTGGCAAGCAAGTGCTACACTTATCCGTATTGATAGCTTAACAATGGAGTTTATAGAGATGATGGGCCCCAGTCTGACTGGGATTCTGGCTAGCTGATCCCTCCACTTTCTTGTAAATCAAATCTTTTCCTCTTTTTTTTTTTCTGACTGGTAATCACACTCAGGCACGTTCTTGTACATGCAAGGCAAACCCTGTACCACCTCATAAAGAATGAAAGAGGGCTATTAGAACTGCTTCATAAAGTGGCAAGAACGATGAGATAAATGTGTTGAAAGCGAGGGGGACTGTTTTGAGGAGGGGTTCATGGCAATGTATCATTTGCTGTAATAAACTTTAAAAAATATAAACATTCACTATATATTTTGATCACCTGTTCATTTACCATGTGATCCAGCCACTCCAATTTTAGATGTTTACTTGAGAGAAACAAAAGCATATACCCATACAAAGACTTGTACACAGATATTCGTAGCACTTTTATTTGTAATAGCTAAAAATCAGTAATAGTCTAAATGGTCATTGACAGATGAATAGATACACAATTATGGTACATCATTATAATGGAATACTTACTCAGAATGAAAAGGGAACAAATTATTGCCACAGAAACATGGGCAAATCTCAGAATAACTATGTCAAATTAAAGAAACCATGTACAATGGGTTACACACTGTATGGCTCCATTTGTATAAAGTTCTAGCAAACACAAAGCAAGCTACAGAGACAGAAAGCAGGAGTTCTGGGATGGAGGATGCAAAGGATGAGACGGAAGGGTCACCAAGGGGCATGAGGAAAATTTTGGGGGTGATGGACACATTAATTATTTCGTGTGAAGATTGTTTCATGAGTATACATGTAGGTCGAAACTTTAAATATGTGCCATTTAGGGCTTGCCAATTAGATCACAACTAACTGTTTAAAATAAAGGAGAACCTTAAATGGCACCTAGTGACTATAGTGACAAGATGGGAAGTCCTAAACTTTGCAGGAGTCCAGGAAAGTGTCTGAGTTTCCTGTCTGAAACTGGAGAAAAAAATCAGGTGGTAAGCAAGGGCCACAATTATCCTTGTTGATAGCTTAACAATTGAGTTAATAGCGATTCTGTACACCAATCTGTCTGACATTCTGGCTAGTTTTTCTCTCTACTTTTTTGTGAATCAAACCTTTTTCGTTGTTGTTTGTTTCTTTTTGACTGTGCTGGGGAATCACACTCAAGTCCTCGTACATTCTAGGCAAACCCTCTGCCAGTGAGCTACACTCCCAGGCACAGAGACTTGTAACATCTTTGTACTAGGTTTTGGATGGACAGTATTTTTTACTTAAAATAACTTCGTGAAAGGCTTAGTGTTTGTTTTCATTTTCCAAACTGAGGGTGAGGAGAGTTTACTCACAAGTCTTGTGATAGATTTATTTTCCATTAATGTTGCCTATTTAGATAAATGGAAGATTTGGGATAGTGTTAATTTAATTTTGGAGGGGCTGAGAGAACCGCGCACATTCATTAGCACTCACTAAATTTTCAGGTACTAAGGGCACCACCATCTCTTCCAAGTCACTGGTCAAGACTCAGGCACATAGCCAAGTGTGGTGGCACAAGCCTGTAGTCTCAGGACTCTAGGAGGCTGTGGCAGGAGGATCACAAGTTTCATCCCAGCCTAAGCAATTAAGAAACTTAGCAAGAACCTGTCTCAAAATAAAAAAAAAAAGGACTGGGGATGTAGCTCAGTGTGAAGGTGCACACACACACACACACACACAAAAAGGGAAAAGAACATAGAAGAAGAAGAGCAGGAGGAGAAGGAAGAGAAGGAGAAAGAGGAAAGAAATTGAGATGGGGAGAACAAAAGTTTAAACTTAATACTTAATGTCCTTCATATTTTAATTTTACTGAGAGACTAAGGGTGGATTTTATTTAGATACTAAATGAAGGTTCTTTGAGTGTCATCACACATTGTGTTACCTGAAAGGTTTAATTGGTCATTTGAGTTCATTGCATAGTCTCTAAACCAAGAAGGGAACTCCACGTTAGTAGCTGCATCATCCCAACCTGGATTTCTTCACTCATTTGCTTTGGAAGGTGGGATCCTGCCTCACATCTCCACCAAGTATGAGTGTATCCCTCCAAGCTCCCCGCCTCCCCAGTTTCTTCCTTCATGGGTCTCCACTGCCTTACGCATCCCTCACAGTCACTCACAGGGCACTGTGTCACGCAGATACTCCCACCACTGCCGAAGAGTGGAGTCCCCCATCATGTGGACGATGCGGCCAGCCAGGCAGCCCAGGATGCTGTCAGTGGTGGGGAAGGAGCGGCTGGAGCAGGCCAGAGAGTGCCACACATTTTGATGGTAGAAGCCAGAGGGCTTTGGGGCCAGGAGGCCAGGGCGGCATGGGGGCCGTGGGGACAGGGCTACAGGAGGGAGAAAACAGAACAGGCTATAGAATAACAGGAGCCAACATTAACCTCTTACAATGTGTCAGGTACTCTTCTATGCTTTACACACATGATCTCATTTAGTCTTTTATGAAACCTATGGAGTACTATTCTTACCTCCGTTTACAAGTGGGGACACGGGGCACTGGAATGATAAGAATTTGTCCATGATTAAGAATAATGAAGGGAAAAAAGAAGAATAATGAAGGGATCAAGAGATGGAGGGAGGAGACGGGAGGGAGGGGGTGAAAAAAGAATAAGAATGTCCTATGTACATGTGCCAACACCACACAAGGAATATAATCGTAAGGCACTGCAGGGCCGGGGATGTAGCTCAGTGGTTTCGCCACCTGCTGCGCAAGCGCAAGGACCTGAGTTCCATCCCCGCTACCAAAAAAAAAAAACAAACACAAAAAACTAAGGCCCTGCAAATGAATAATAATAAAAATTTAAAATTAAGAAAAAGATTGGCAGTTTCTCAAAAAATTGCAGATAGAGTATTATATGATCCAGCAATCCCAATTTTGGGGTTATGCTCAAAGGAATTGAAATCAGGATCTCAAAGAGATATTATCTACACTCCCATATTCATGAATCATTATTCACAACAGCCGAGACATAGAAACAACTGAGTGTCCATCAATGGGTGAATGGAGAGAGAAAATGTCACACACACCACACAATGGAATATTATTCACTCTTAAGAAAGGAAATCTTGCCACTTTTGGAGGATCATGGTCCACACATTATATTAAGTGAAATAAGCCAAACAAAGACAAATACTGTGTGATCTCACTTATAAGTGGAGTCTAAAAAACTGAACTCAGAAATAGAGTAGAACAGTGGTTTCCAGGGACTTAGGAGGGGAAAAGGGTCAAAGTGTATAAACTTTGAATTATAAGACATATAAGTTCTGGGGATCTAAGGGTACATCCTGGTGACTACAGTTGATAGTATCATAGTGTAGACTTGAAATTTGCTAAGAGAGGAAAGGTTAAGTGTTCCTATCGATCAAACACACACACACACACACACACACACACACTGCTGCGGGACACTACAATATGGATTATGCCCAAAGCAGGCTGTAATCGGTGCAAGCTGTAAAGAGGTAACTTCTCAATTGGCTTGTTTTGAGAAGTAAGTCCACCTGAAGCCTATGTGCTGAGGTCAGAGTAACTCTCACCCAAATTCCATTCCCACAATTAAAACCTTCTTAACTAGAAGGACAAGGTTCTAATTACAACCCTATATTTTGTCTATTCTGTTCCTAATTCAAGAATGCTTTGTGTTGTCCTTTACAAGCCTTGCTTGCATTAGTATCCATAGTAACTGCACAACTGCAGGTCCTCACATGTGGTTTTCCTTTAGCATATAGCTCACCTTTACCCCAATTGATTACAAATAAAAATCAGTGGTTTAGACTGACCAGTGCCTTTGCTGGATGAGGAGCATTGGTTGTCCTGGCTCCCTGGTTTCTCTGTCTCTTTAGCTCTGTCTTTTAGTTAGTTAGTTTGTTTGTTTTTTCTTAGCCTTGCTCTGTAGCACCGAGCAGGAGATCAGAACCCAATGCAGAGGTCTCTGATACACACCAAACAAAAAATGAAGTTAACTATGTGAGGTGATGGATGTGCTCAATAACTTAATTGTGTCACAATGTATACACATACCATATCACCTTGTATACCTTAAATATATATAATTTTATTTGTCAATTATTCATTAATGGAGCTAGAAAAGTAAAAGCTAAATAGATAAAGAAGGAAACCCTGCCATTTTGACAATTTGGATGAGCCTGGAGAATATTATGCTAAATGAAATAAGCCAAAGGACAAATAACACATGAGGTATCTAAACTAGACTCACAGAAGCAGAGAGTAGAATAATGAATGCTAAGGGCTGAGGAGGAAGGGGAAACAGGAAGGTGGTAGTGAAGGGATACAAAGTTTCAGGTATATAAAATGAATAATAAATCCTAGAGATTACTATACAGCATGAAATCTATAGTTAATAATAATATAGTTCAGTATAATTAATATACTGAATTGTATATTTAAAATTTTGCTAAGAGGGTAGATCTTAAATGTTTTAATCATATGCAAATAATAATAACAAAGAGGGCAGCAGGAAACTTTCAGAGATAATGGATATTTTAAAATATTTACAAAATATTTAATGTAAAATATCTTGTAAATGCAGTAGTGTGTTGAAGTGTATACTTTCTCTCAAGTATAAAATATGCGTACATGAAGGTATGAAGTGTCACCCAGTTACTTACACAATATGTAACATTCCTGCCGAGAAAAGAAACTTCCCTGTTTTAATCATCAAGCTTAAACAATTGATGTAAAAACAAAACAAAACAAAACAAAACAAAATTACAGTGCTCTGTATAGTAGTAAAGCTTCAAAACGAAAATTGAACTCCATGGCCACAATTGAGAATTTTAAATTGGATTTTCTCTTGATCTATTTATCAGTCCTATTACATTTAAGCTTAAAATTTAACTGCAGTGGAGTTGTGGATAAGTTTATAGCATGAATTGATAAATGATGATTTCACAGATATATACTTACATCAAACTCACCAAGTTGTATATATTAAATATGTGCAATTTCTGTGTCAATCAGACCTCAGTGAAGTGATTTTTTTAAAAAAAGAATAGTGATGGGCAGGGATAACATTTGAATCCAGGAAGCCTGTTGTTAAGAGTCCATACTACTAACCTTTATACTATTCCACCCTGGCAGGGAGAGGCTAGACTCTCAGTCAAGGAATAAAAGCCACCTAGGTCTATTACCACCCAATCCCCAGCATATCCCAGCCCTACTCACCCAGACTGGTGTTTATTGGGGCTGCAGGTCTGACTAGGATTGGAGAAATACCCTGAGAGAGCAGCTTGTCAGTCACATTCCTAGAGAAACAGGAGAGCCTGCATTGAGGGATGTGATCAGGTGAAAGTTTAAGTTGCTAGGGCATATGATGATTGACTTGTCATCTCTATTCTGCCTAATTTCAAAAATAAATGAGATCATTACAATATAATTAGCACATTGATACTTGAGACAATTACAACAGAGAAAAAATGATGGAAAGAACAGAACAATCTTATTTTATGATGTGATAAAAATATAATCTTACCTCTGGGATCTTCCTCCCCAAGACATACAACACTAGTGTAATCATAAGGAAAACAGACAAATTCCAATAGAAGTGAATCCAACAATACAATCAACTAGTACTTCTCAAAATTGTCAGGGTCATCAAAGACAAAGTCAGAGATGCTTTCACAGCCCAGAGAGCTTAAGGAAACAGGATAGGATAAAGAGTTTAATGAAACAAGATAACTAAATATAATGTGACAACCTGAATGGGAGCCTAGAAAAGAAATAAAAGACATTAGTTAAAAATTAAGGAAATCTAAATAAACAATGGACTGGAATTAATAATAATGTGCCACAATTGGCTCATGAATTGTAACAGATATACCACAGTCATGCAAGATGTGAAAAATAGGGGAGACTGTAGGGGAAAGGAAAAAATGAGAACTTCCCATGCTATTGTCTCAACTTCTCTGTAAATCTAAAACTTTTTTTTAAAGTCTATTAATAAAAATTCCATCCACAGATGTTTACCTACTATGAAAATGTTTGCCTACAAAAGTCTTATACATCAACATTGGCAGCTGTTTTATCCATAATAGCCTAAACCTGGGGAAAAAACCCCTCAAATGTTCATCAAGAAGCGAATGGATAAACAAATTGTGGTATATCCATACAGTGCAACACTCTTCAGCAATAAAAAGGAAAGAATTACTAACACCCAGCAGCAGCATGGATGAGTCTCCAAAACATTTCACTGAGCAGAGGAAGCCAGGAAGAGTGTGTGCCATATGACTATTTTTATGGAGTTGTAATTCTAGAATTCATAATTCTAGTCATAATTCTAGAAAATGCAAAACTAGTATTTACTGTCAGAAGGCAAATCAGTGTTTGCCTGAGGCTGGAGACTAGTAAAGGAAATGGTGAAGGGCACAAGAGAACTCTGGAGTGGTGGAAATGCTCTATATCTTTATTGTGGCAGCAGTTACATGGGTGTGCACATTCATTAAAATCTATGGACATGCACACTTGAAACATGTCCATTTATTTTATCACATGTACATTATACTTTAATGTTTAATCAATCACAGTAAGATTGTTGGCTACTGAGAAATACTAGAATTAGACAAATAGCTACTGAATATCTTAGTAAATGTTTGTTGCACAAATGTATGAACTGTTGTCTCTAGAATTAATGAGCTCCAGTTCTAGTGGTGATGGAAATACTACTGGGCAATTCTTCTATCTGAATCCTGGTAGATGCCTCTCTCATTCTCCAAAGCTGGTGTTAGGAGCTCGCCATTTTCTTCTCTTCAATTCCTTGGGTAGCATCTTGTATTTTGCAGAGAAGCTGTTTCACATTTAACCCCCTTAACAAAAGATGTATCTACTTCTCATTCTCGCTTCCTCCTTGCCCTTCTGAAAGGAAAGAGGTGACATTGTATCTAGATCCCGAAGTAACCTCTTTCCTCTTCTTTTACATTGTGCCGCATTCATTTTTTTACATCATCTTTAACTTATTCTTCCCAAGTTCTTCTTTTTTTCAGAATATAAACAGAGTGCACATACATGAATACATGCTTCATGAAATAAAGCCACTCCACTTTTCTGTAGCTGCAACTCCATCTCCTTTCTCCATCTTCTGTGCAGGACAACTTCTTGAAAAACTATCTATCTTCTGTGCATGTTTTTAAAAATTATTGTGTACTTGACATCCAGTTCTACCAGTTCTTAACATATTTCCAGATATGAATCAGATCTTTCTTTTAAAAAGAATAGTTCAACAGCTAAAATTTTAAAATAGTATTAACACTCAGTGCTGGGGAGAACACAGAAAAACTGGATCTCTTAGGATGTAAAATCCTAAGGCCATTCTGTGAAATAGTTTGGCAGATTCTTATAAAATTAAACACCCACCAGTTGCACAATTGAGAAATTGCACTCAGACAAAGGAACATTTATGCTCATACAAAAGCCTCTATATGAATATTCACAGAAGCTTTATTAATAAGAGTCAAAAGCTGAAAACACCCCCAAATTTCCTTTGATGCATGAATGGTTAAACGAACACATACAGTGACATCTCAGATAGCAAGGAAAAGGAATGAATTATTGATACATGCGATAACTCAGGTGGATTTTAAGGGCATCATCTCTGGTGAAAAAATCCAATGACAACTGACTGCACACTGTATGAGTCCATTTATATAACATTATAGAAATAGCAGAAGTGTGGTTCTGCTGCCTGCCTCGCAAGCACAAGGTCCCAAGTTCGATCACCAGTACCAAAAAAAAAGTATAGAGATGGAGAGCAGAGTAGGGTTTCCAGGTGACAGGAACAGGACTCAGACAGTGGGAGTGTGGAAAGAGGGCAGCAGAAGGGATTTCCTGCATGGTGACGGGAGCTTTCTGTATCTTGATTGTGCTGTTGCTTACATAAATCTATTGCGAAGAAACACACACACGAGTATATATATAAGCTGGTCAAAACTATAGGGCCAGGGATTTTGCTCAGTGGTTTCACTGCCTGCTGCGCAAGCGCAAGGACCTGAGTTCAATCCCCAGTACCAAAAAACAACCAAACAAACAACTAAATAAAATTTGTAGTCTAGTTAATAGAATTGTACCAATGTTAATTTTCTTGTTTTGATATTACACTTCATATATATGAGGTGTTACCACTGGAGGAATCTGGGGAAGGAGATTACACCATTCTGTGTACTATTTTGCAACTTCTTGTGAGTTTATCATTATTTCACAATAAAAAGTTAAATTTAAAAAAGTAAGAAAAAGATAAAAGCAGCAAATAAATATATGAAAAACTGTTCAACATCACTGCATATTCAAGAGATGCAGATGAAAACAGTACTGAATTCCACCTCACCCCAGAAAGAATGGCTGCTATCAAGAAATCATCCAATAACAAATACTGACAGGGGTGTGGGGAGAAAGGAACCCTTCTCCATTGTTGGTGGGAGTGCAGACTAGTGCAACCACTGTGGAAATCAGTATGGAGATACCT